CCCAGTTTTAATTTCCAGGGAGATACAGACAAAAATTCATGTGAGCTCGTCTCACCCTGCTCTCACTCTTTCTCCGTTTCCACCCCAACAACGCTGCCATCAAATGTGGCAAAGCGACAGTAGGGCTGGGAAGATGGTCAATCTGAGTAATTAGTCAAGCTGGAGACAAATGACCTCATGCACAGCATGAGGAGAAGGCAAGGGCAGCATGGGGTTGAGGCAATTACTGTGGATGCCTCATGGCCCTCAGGCCCTGGGTTCGATTGCAGGCTGCTGATCTGTGTGGATTCTGCGTGTTTTGCGTGGTGCACTGGTTTCTTTGCATGCTGACCCGATTAACTGGATTCTGTCAGCGGTGTGTGTGTGTGTGCACGCCCCGTGACTGTAAGGCATCTGATACAGGGTGTAGTCTGACTTTGCATACTTACTGTACACCTCTCTGAGTTTATCACAAATTCACCCTGAACATCCGGCAGACTGCATTAAGGCTTCGGGCGGGAGGTATAAATTCTTCCGTAAAGATCCCCCAAATAAAACAGGACAATTATGCGTTGCAAGAAACACATACTGTACATGGTCAAGAAGTCCAAAAAAATCCTGGGCAGACACCAATGGAAGGAATACAACGGAAGACACGAAGATGAGCATTTCTCATGAAGACATTACTTCTCTTTTTGCATTGCCTTCTATCACCAAGGAAGAACCACTTTTGATTAAATTTGCCAGTTTATGCAGATTACAGTCAGCAAAGTCGAACTCAAGTACATAAATGACTGCACCTGTCATGACTCCATCCAAGAGAGTAATTAGGCAGCAGAACTAACAGAACACAGTGGGTTTGTGTCAGCTGTAGCTGACAGAAGCACCAACTCCAGTTTTTATTAATGAGCAGGAAATCATCTGTAAGGGCTGTACAAGGTAGTGGTGGTGATGCCACAACCAAAGTGAAACACTACAAAACATGGAGATGTGCCAAGGTCAGGTGAAGTGCTTTATAGCAAAGAACACAGGAAAGCTTAGAAATGAAAGAAGGTCATTTGTATCACTACGTCGTTAGTAGTTTATCGGTCCAGGGATCTTATCCAGCTGTTTCTTGAAGGAACACTGAATACTAGCTTCAACCACATGTTCATTCTGAGGAAAACCACTGCCTTTGTCAATGCTTTTGAGGATCTTGCATAATTGTATCACATCCCCGACAAAAGCTGTAGACAATATTCTAAACTACCCTACTTTCAGTTAATACACTTTCATATTAGTAGTAATATGAGTTAATAAAATAGGTTTTATGATCCATTATACACTCTTAACATATCCTTGATTTGGATTTTACCACTGTGTGTGTATATGGCCCAGCATTTTTCTTGCCTTATTCATTGGAATAGGATGCCATAGGAGTTGACCAGGAAGTGTGGCAGAAGAAAGCAGCCTGTGTGAACTCAGATGCAGTTTCCATTGTAACGGGACAGGAAACAAGGGAAGGTGTGTGTCCGAAAGAGTGCCTCCTATGTGCACTCATAATCCACTGTATATGGTAGCTCAGCCAAAAAGGTACCTTTTTTGACACCTCAAGGTTTTTAATCTATTATTTTGTTCCACAAAACAAATTCAAACAGCTATAAATAATTTCTTGACGATCATTTTAGCGGACCTAAAAGCACCACATCAAATTAAAAAATTTCAGCCAGTGGCAGAAGCCAAAAGGATGGAAGTAAAGACACAAGTAGTAGTGCAAGGGCTGAAGACAGAAGACTAAGTTTAATTTCAGTAGTGATCAGCATTAGCTTATTAGTTACGCCGTAGCATCAGCCTGGCAAAATCAAGCCCCATCTCTTCCGCCGTGACAACGTTAACATCACGAGGACTAATAACCTGGTGCAGAGCAGTACATCTGACACGCTCCTGATGAGGCCAGAGCCTGGAGACGATGAGACATCACTCGCCGGAGGTAAATACACACTCACGCATTGTAAACATTTTGGTTAAGGTTATTATACAAGCTGCGCTTGCCTTTAGTGACACCGTTTTTATGCTAAGTGTGCTGGCGCTTCAGAGGTTCTGATGAACCGATGTTCCACCCACACTTGTGCACAATTCTCATCTTGGCACTGGCCTCCCGTCCTGCCACCACTTGAAAACCCACAGCGATTGGAATGGGACTAGTAAAAAAAAAAAATCGGAACCCTGCTTTACTAAACAAAAAGAAATAATCATTAAAGGTCATTTTACTCGCAAGTAAATGATTCCTGTCCCGTTTAAAAAGGTATTTTTCTGCCAGCATAATGCTGGTTTTCCTTAGGATGTCGGTAAACGTGTGTTTGAGGCGATGAGGGTGGGGACACACACAAAGTCGTGGAGCTCCACGGGGATAAATGTCTGCCTTGACGCATCACCAAGAAGGATCGTGACAGCAAAGCAGATCCTCCACAGTGCTCGGCAGACCCTAAGCTCACCGAAGCTGCAGTGATGCGCATCAGCACCAGATCTCTCTAAAAGGTGTCTCTAAAAACATGTTTCAGAGTCTGGCAAGCCTCAGCTGCTACACTACCTTACCGAGAGAAGCAGGCCCCCAGGAGCAAGGTTTCCTCCGGGGGGCGTGTGAAAACGTGAAAGCCGAGACGCTCGTGGACCTGACGCGACGTGGCCTCAAAAGACTGCCATATAAACAGCACCCGTCAGGACAAACGCCCTCAGGCCAGGGCCGGAGGCTCCTGACCCATATGACATCGGCGTGGAAATACAAAAAGCAGGTGGACAGCTGGAGTGGAGAAGACGACACCAACTCCTCCCGTCGCTGGTGAAGACAGCGCACAGAATAGCAGCATGGCTTGGTTACAAGCTCACAGCACAAAGCTGTGATCACTGACATGCTTATTGTGTCGATGACAGCAAAGCATCTTTGACATATGGATAATTTGAGAAGCTTTGTGCAGATCTCAGAGAACAGCACTTGAGACTTGGCAATTTCTGTAAATACTGCTAAAGCAAATGCACTTTTAGTGGCTCATAAAAATAACATTTGCTTTAAGTCTTTACAGTTCCAGTGATTGTGTAAAAATCTGTTTCTATTGTTAATTATTTGTGCATTGCAAACCATTGTGCCACATTGAGCATCAGTACAGTACATTGTGAGCATCAAAAATACTGATAAATTTTATTGTTTGATATGTAAGCTATATACTGTATATAAGCTTTACCATATAACTTACATGTTAAATTAAGTTAGTAAGGCAAAAAATCCCATTGGTACATTATGATTTTAAGAAATTAAGGGAATTTAAGAATTTCTATGATATAGTTCAAGTGACTGATTAGAGATGCCCGAGAACAAACTAATTATTCAGCAATTAATCCCCCCCAACAATATCAGCAGCAAAAAGGCTATTTGTCTTGCATCAGTGCTGTATAGCACTGTATAGACTGTATAGCAACCATAATCTAAGACCAATGCTGTTAAAACCAGTGACACGATACTATGAATGCAATTTTAGATGATATTACATTAAGGCAGCGTGCCAACATGATTACTACAGTGTCCTGTGCCACTGTCCTATCCTGTGCTAAAAGGTTAATACTTTTAAAGTGTGGCAACTCGGGGGGGGGTAGCGGCAAAATAAGTTGATTTGCTGTTTCTGGCATTCATTAACAGAGCTGCTAGTGCGAAATTATAATGCGATGCAATCCGATCACGTGATATAAACTGCTGAAAGGCTGCGATGAATCTACAGTACGTCATTGTTTTACAGTCGCTTTTAAATGAGAAACAAATACAAATTTCAAATAAGATTTCAGTTAAGGTGTGAAAAGTGTCAACACAGATTAAATCGTGGTGGGGGGGAGCAACCTGCAAATACCTTTATTAAAATTTAGTTTACTTTTATAACTCCGAAAACGCATTACAATTTGGAAACGATCACCTAATTTCAACGCTTAAAAGAAACAAAAAAACTCCGGAAAGCAACTGAATATGCCTGAACAGACAGTAATGAACATCTAGCATATCCTTTGCAATTTTAATCATGAAATCAGGATTCATGGTTTTAAGGTGACGCGTTCCGTTTCCTCTGGCAAATTAAGTTTTTAAAAGCATTTCCTGTCAATCCACAAGGCTCGATACAAAATATAGTTCTCTGGGAATAAGCACGGTCTCTATTTATACACATAAATCTATCTATACACTATACACATAAACAGCGGAGTGTTCGACGATTACTGTGGAAGTGACCTACAGTCAGCTCAAACCTGACTGTATAAACACAATCGGGTTGATGAAAACCGGTTTATTACAACTCCCTCCGTCAATGTGCCACTGGAAACGACGCGGGCATGGCGAGATAATGACCTCTAATCAGCCTCCGATCAAAGTGCTTCACAAGAATGCCACGGCCGAACTCTCCCGTTTCCCCGACGTGTATCGGACTTCAAAACCCCCCCGATCTCCAAGCGCCGATTGAAGACACCACCGCGAACAGCAGCCCCGACAATGAAGGCTTTTGATTGCGGTCCCAGTCATTTGCCTGGCGGAGACAATAACTACAGCGCAATGTAAAGCAGAACTCGGCGAAAAGCTGTCGCGTTGAAACCCAAACTCTTATTATTCGAGTATTTGTAAATAAATAAGTAAAAATAAATAATGCATGTCCAGCACCGCTCACTTGAAATAACACCCGGCCGTTAAATGCCTTTATTTTGCCTTCTTGTTTTTGCAACATTACATACTGTATGGCTTCAGCCTCCTCTATGTTTTTTTTTTCCTTTATAATGCGCCGGCTGGTGATTGACAAACGGCAGGCTACTGTATCAGTTTATATGATGATCCATTATAACAGTAAGCATGTAACAAAGGCAGCAGCCTATTTTTAAAAGGTAGCTGAAGGCGCACGGCGGGGGTGTGGGGGGGGAGATATCTAACCCACAAAGGTGAAATCTGGTTGAATCCCACCATCCAGAAAGGGATTCGCAGGCAGACGAGGACGCATCTGGGCTACCTTGTCCCTTACCTAGCGCCGGGTTATCCCAGGAAAATCGGCTTGCTTGCGTTTCGGGAGTCAAGGGGACCCAGCGCACTTGCGGCAAAGTGAGGTGAGGTCCATGCAAACTCGCGGTAGCGGGGACTGCAGTCCACTCCTCACGCCGGAGCCCGGGCGACAATCACACACCTGCTTCTCCCGGTGGCGTCGGTCCGACAGAGGCTCCTCCGAGACTGTGGGCGCAGGGAAACACACCCCCCACCGGATTTGGGATGCACTCGCTCCTCTCCTGCGGGGTGGACGGCGGTCCGCTAAAATTGCATTGCAGCAGTAACGCCGTCTCTTCACAGGGAGACAAAACACGGCTTGCAAGGTGCTTGGCAGAGCAGGAGATAACGCAGAGTCACGTTACTATTCTGCATCCTACATGCCAGTCTAGGGTCCAGACGCTAGCTGCCGCCGGATAGTCAGGGTGGCAGCACAGTAACAACATGCTCAGCGCCCGCGATCATCCGCCGACGTGCTCCCCTCAGCCCTTGGTTTCCAGTGAATAAATTATTTTATTCCAGTATAAAAGGGGGGAATATTGCCACACCGCGCTCCCATAATAAGCAAGATGGCTGGTGCCTCCAGTGGCGCTGCGGACCTGCTCATTGGCTTCAATCGGGGGGGGGGAGTTCGTAGTCATGGAAACGACCAACAAGTTCAATTTGTGCCGTGGGCCTGGCTGAGCGTGTAGGGGGTCAACGCGGAGAATAGCGCAGAAACCCGGCGTTTTGTAACACTAAACACTTCCTTGTGCCGGCTTAGTTATTTTCTTATAGTTTTGTGTAATGTAACAGACGTGATTCCGGGTAATTCATTACCCAGATAAGGTGGCTTGGTAGCTGCTGTTCGGGCAGTTCAAGCTGGGACGCTGTCTTGCGATAAGCTGTACCAATCAAGGGGGGTGTTTTACGCTTGGTACTTTTAATATGTGTGAAATGCTATAAAACATGAAATTAAAAAAAAACTACACAAGGTTTCTTTCAGCATATACAATAGCAGTGCCCTTTTTTCAGGCATTAAAAAGTAATAATGCCCGGGGACGTCAAGAAAACGGGTTTTATTTTGGAACAAGTTTGTATACAGTTATGTGTATTTTCAGCTTAATTTTGCCTGAGAGAACCACATATTTTTCATCAGAGCCTATTGCAACACCTGATTTCCATTTCATTTCATTGAAAGTGGATGAAATCGATAGGTCAATACTCGCATCATAGTGCTGATGAATTTGTAGGCAGTAGGGAGCTGCGTCAGCACGCACGGACTGGGAAGAAACACGCTTAAAGTAAAAGAAAATATTTCGTTTATTGAACACTAAAATTCGTTTAGTCTTCCTAAACTGAAAAGATTGTACTAAAATAAATTATTGTTCTTCCTTCTACGGTAATGAATCGGAATTCATTGTTTTTTATAAAGCTATTACGGTACCACATGTACTGTACGCTGTAGATATAACCAGAGTATACATCTCAAATGTGTTTGTGACACATTTGTAGAGTGTAGAAGTATTTTGTATATACTGTACATACAGTAGTGCAAAATAGGTTGTGTAGAATTCAGCAGAATTCCTGAATACGCACAGCAATTGTGCAGCAAATATTTGTTTAGGACTGCTTTTAGTATGATAAGTTACAGATCTCTGAGTAACACCTCAAACAGATTCTAATGAATTATACTGGGGATGCTGGGGAACAAACAGTGTGCACTGGTACTAATGAAAGCCCCAGAAAAACTCTTGTGACAAAGAAGAGACAGTGCTTTTTCTTCCAAGTCTACCTTTCTCCTCAGTCCCCGGAACAAAACACAAATTCGTTCCATTATTGATAGGCAATGAAATGGCATGCCCTAAATAATCACAAAAAGACTCAGACATGTCCCTGCTGACCCCTAGCAGAAGGAGCTGCTCTGGCACCTTAATAAATAATGTACAGATCTGAAGGAATGAGTTCACTACCACTGTAACTCATGAATGACTTAACGTCTTTTCTCTCAATACACATCTAGAACTGGAGCACATACTGTACAGGTACAACATCTTTCAATGCTTTGACAATTTTGTCAGGGAGCGTACTGTAGCATGCACAGTGCAATGGCAGGGCTAGTATTTTCACTCTGCACTGATTGCAGTCAGCACATGATTTACTGATGTAATGCAATTAGTATGAAATTGTTAATGTTTCCTTGTTAATGTTTATATTGTTTTGTTTGTTTTTCAGTAAACTGCAATGTTCTTTTTTATCGTTAAAATAAAAAATGGTGAAATCTGTGCAATAAGCTTACCTGACATGATCTCAGACACTTTCAAAACGAGTCAGTGAAATAAATTTGACTGACCCACCCTTCCTCAAATAAAAGAAAAGCCTTATGAAAAGCTGTTGGTTAAAAATAGCAAAGGTATGGCTTGGTGTAATCAATCGGCTTCACAGCGTTGTTATCCGTTTCTTTAAATAGAAATTGTTACAAAATCTATTTTCTTTTTTAAAATATTGTCAAGAAAACTTTGTTTGCCACATGATATATTTTTCACTGCCTTGCCCTTTGTCTTTGCAAAGTTCCCACCATTCACTTCTACAGCACAGATGAAGATTCCAGATTATCAAGCATGTGAGGTGACCTTTCTGGACTCTATTATTTTTCTCTGTGCTGTTGCTGTGCAATCTGAATTCGGAAACCTACTGCAATGATGAAGTGCCCTCTCAGGTTTGTTTTCTGCCCTGTTAACTGCGAATCTGCTCTCGGCAGGCATGTGGACCTTACACGAGACACTCAGGAATGTCAGCATGATGCTGGATATACTTAGGTGACTGGAGCATTCCCGGAGATCGACGTCCAGTGAAAATCTAGGACTCGACTGGCGCCTCTCAATATGAACCATGTTGAATATGAGCCTCTTGTTGTTATTTTTGTAAGTCAATGCTGTTTGATGAGCCTAGGTCACAACAGCTTCTTTGCCTTTGCAGTGACCTGCTCCATAAAGAAGCCTGTGATTAGTACAACCGGCTAAAGATGAGGTCATGACTACAGTATATCTTTAATTATCTCATGTTCAACTATAAATACTGCCCAGCATCAGACTCCAGCAATTCGAACAGTACGTATTACAAGAAGTGATGTGATAAATGCTGCTAAAAAATAGCATTCTTATCTTTGACTTTCACATGCTCTTTACTTCCAAAAGGTTTAACATTCCAAGCATCTGATATTGTCACCTTATCTTAACATGTAGAACCAACTGCTTTCTTTCAAATGGAGTTAAAGCTATGTTGCCCCATAGTTTATGTTTCATTTTATTGCCTGATGAAATTATGTTCTAGTTTACTAAAGGGATTTACAATTTGGATTAACATTACCATATCGTTTTATTAGACCTTTCTTCACAGGGATTTACATTGCTTAACAACTACTGAATAATAGTAATTATTATTCAATTGTCAAGTTTCTGTCAATGTTTAGCAACTGGAATTAATTGCAGCACCTCTTTGTGTTGTGAAGTTGTGTACTACAATGGAGGTTTGTAGCTTGTGTCACATGAAGTGCCTAATGTTTTCTTAAACATTTAAAGAGGCTGATTTCAATTAAAGACTCTTATAATATGTGTGGCTACTTTCCCAGCAATTTACCAATTAATTGTGTTACCATTTAACAATTATCATATTACCATTGTGTTACCACGTAACAATTACCTCGTTACCATTGAGTTACCATCTCACAAGAGCAAGTTATTTGTTCTTTTACTCTGCTGTATATAGTGAGTGAGCTAGAGTGATTTTGATTTCTCAACTCAGAATAATTTCTATTCTGAATTCATACTCTCAGTTCCTGAGTATAAATTGTAATTCACAAACTGAATACAACTTGTTGTAAAAATGACTTGATTTAGTAAAAGTGAAATTAATAAAAGTTTGAAACGTATTTACTTAAAGCAAACAATCAATTTTTATTAAATTTAGTAAAAGTTAAAAATGTAGTAAAATATTTTTGCCTCAAATACCATAATTATTCACCCCCACACATTCACAAAAGACAGTGTAAAGAAAGTCACAAGTCCAGTCTTATCCTAAATTAAATAATCACAAGATTGGACACAGCAGGGTGTTGAGGGTCAAGTCTGAGAAATCCTGTGTTAGAAGAAAACCCAGTGTCCTAAACTTTCTCAAATAACACAGCCTGCACACTCTCTGATTACATGAATAAAGCCAGACCTTTGATCTTTAATCATAGGCAGACAACTCCAGTCCTCGAAGGCCAGAATCTAGCCAGTTTTCCAGTTCTCTTTACATTATTAACGGCTGAAGACCTTTGAAAAGTGTTAAACTGGTCCAATTAATCTAATGATCCGCTACATCAAGTCAATAAGAGCAGAAGTGGTAAGGAGACTTGCAGACACTGGAGTTGTTGAAACAGGGCTGCAAATGTTGGATAAAAAACCCAAAACGTCTTGAAAAATGTCCCATAGAATTCAAGATTAATGTCACGTGTATGCTCCCAAGAAATCTACAAAAGAAACTAGCGTTTATTAAGGTGCTTGTTTCCGCATTTGACACTTGAAAAATATCTGTGTCTAACATTCATCAATGCACTCCACCCATAAATGTATTCATGTTTTATAAACATAGTGCTGCCACACAAAGTAAATACACATCGTTCAAAAGTGCCCGTGTGCTGGAACCTTGTCACATCCGGACCCCCACATGACTCGGTGTAGGGTAAGGAGCTGATTTGGAGCCCAGGCTGAGTGCTCCATTTCAGATACTGCCTGATGGATTTAGGCTGTGAGCCAGCCATGGCCAGGAGACCCAAGGATGTACAATTAGTTTGGAGAAATAAGGTTGGCAAGGCTACTTGACCCTTGGGCCTCTCTGTATTATTGGGATAGAGCTGCTTGCTCCTGAATTCAATGCTAGGTCTGCTGTGGGCCTAAGGTGTTCTTCTTCGGACTAGAATATCCAGTGCAGTAGCTCAGTCTGCTACCTGTCTGTCTGCTATTTCAACAACATGTAGCCCAACGGCGTTACACTGGGTGATGCTTTTAGGGTGGAAATCACGCGCAGATGAGTCTCTGCATTAGTTTACCCCTCAGCTTGTTTTTCACTGCTCTGAAGCAAAATGGGCTCCACGTGTGTTGGGTTAGGGAGAGGGCAAAGCATGATGAAGGCAGCCCATCTCCAAAAAAAACCCTTCTGTATCAGAAGATGTTAGAGCAGGGAGCTGTGAGTTTAACGTGAGGGCTTCTCTATTCCCACTGAGCAAACCTGAGGAAGGCTCCATGGCTGAAACCTTTACTCTTGTTCCTTTTACTTTTCAGTGTTGAATTAACCTATGCTTTACCCATGGCCATCAGACAGTCGTCCTTTGTGCATTCAAAACTCACACAAGACACCCCAAAACCAGCGGTGCTGCAGAGACCCTATTCTCTCTCAGGGTGTTTTCAATGTGAAGCTTAGAAATTTGCTTTTACTGGCGAAAGCTCCCACTGATCTCAGCCATACAGGTGATAATGGCAAACCAAGCAGACAAATGGCACCTCTAGAATAATAGGGGTTACAGCAAGACAGGAAAAGTCAATTACAACTTGCTCTTCACACAGATATTGTATTTTTATCTCACCTTTA